CAGACTGAGCGATTAGGTATGTCTATGAAATGCGGAGTATATCCAAGAATATATATAGGGTTGGCAGACAATGGTCCTATAAGCTTATGTGAATGATCAGAATTCCCAGGTGTATAGTAGAGCTGACAAGGGCAAGGATGTGGTCATGGCTAGGTCACAGACAGCTACCCAGAGGCACCGAGTAGTTGAACCTGCGGGCTGGGGACCACAGTCACAGAGGACATCAAGCTCAAGTGGCATAACATACTATATAAAACATTGTCCCACGTCCTACTTTGGCGAGTAGCGACTGGGATCTTAAAAGCTAGCAAGCTGCCATCTGGATGCAACGCTAGGTCTCTCCTTGTCCAGAGCAAAGAAGAATGAAGAAAACCAAAATTCATGGAAAGAATTATTCCTAGAGACTGGTACACCATCCGATCTGCAGCCTATACAACTATGAGACCAGAAGAACTAGATGGTACCTGGCTACCACTGTCATCCACTTGGAAGGGGATCTATGTAGGAGACCCTTGATAGAGAGGGAGAACAATGTGGAACAAAACTCAAAATCATTTGGAGGAAAAAAAAGGGGGGGGAGGGGAAGGACCAGGTTTGCTGGTCTGATAGACCCTAGTGGAACCACTGAGACTATGGCCCCTAGCAGCCATTCAGGTCTGGAATTGAACCCACACCAGTGGTTTCCAGCCAAACAAAAGACAGGCATATGAGTTGAACATTTATCTCAGGTAGATACAGTCTTTGGAGAGAACAATCATGGGAGAAAGAAGAGCTGCTTATGCACAGGGAGACAGCTCAGGGGGCAGGAGTGCATGGAGGGATGGACACTGGGAATGGCATAACTATGGGGAGGAAGTGGGAGGGGAGATGTTGCACTGTGGTAAACTCTGGTCAATGTCATGAGACAGAGTGTATGGGAAGTCTGTAGGGAAAGTAAATTTGCTCTGTAAATTTTCACCCAAATCACACACACAAAAAAGCATATGGATTATACGTACTACAATCAATGAAGATTTAACTCAGGAATGCAAGGATGGTTCAACATTAAAAAAATCAATCAATTTAATATACCGTATTAATAGAACAAGGAAAAGAATCAAACGATCACAATCAATGCAAAGAAGGCATTTCACAAAATACACATTTTACGAAAATAATAATAATAAAAAACTCCCAACAAGTTAGGTGTAGAAGGGAAATTCCTCAATATATGAAAGGGCATTTATAAAAAAAACACATATAACATCATACTCAATGGAGAAAGACTAAGAATTTTCCCATTAAGATCAGAAACAAAACAAGGAGACTTGTTCTCACCATTGAATTCAACCTTGTACTGGAAGTCTTAACCACAGCAATTAGGCAAGAATAAATATATAAATAAATAGAATCCAAATTGAGAATTAAGTAAAAACATTTTTCCAAAGACAACATGATTCTATAGTACAAAATCCCAAAGATTCCACAAGAAACCTAGAGCTAATAAATGAATTCAGCAAAGTGGAACTGTACAAGGTCAACACACAAAAACCAGTAGGGTTTATTATATATTAGCAATGAGTAAGCTGAAAAGGAAAATAAGGAAACAATATTTACAATAGCATCTAAAAGAATAAAGTACCTGGGAATAAATGTGACAAGGAAGGTGAAAGATTTAAACACTAAAAACAATACAACATAAAAGAAATTAAAGAAGACCTAAATAAATAGAATGGCACTCTGGTGGGGCAGTGGTTAAAGTATTCAGCTGCTAAACAAAAGTTTGGCTGTTTGAGTCCATCAGCCACTCTGTAGGAGAAAGATGAGGCAGTCTGCTTCCCTAAAGATTTACAGTCTTGGAAAACCCATGGGACAGTTCTACTTTGTCCTGTAGGGTCACAATGAGTTGGAATCAACTCAATGGCAGTGGATTTCGTTTTCTGGTTTTAAATAAAATGGATGGACATTTCATGTTCAAAGACTAGAGGGCTTAATGTAGTTAACATGTCAATAACATCCAAAGAAGTCTATAAATTTAATGTAAGCTCCCATTAAAATCCCAACAGTCTACTATGCAGAAATGGAAAAGCCAATGCTCAAATTTATATGGAAGACTCCCCCCAAAAAACCATGCATGTTGCCACTGAGTTGATTTGGACTCACAGCAACCCCCTGTGACAGAGCAGAACTGTTCCACAGCATTTATAGAGCTGCAATCTTTATGGAGGGAACTCTGGTAGTATAGTGCCTAAGGCACCTGACTGCTAACTAGAAGGCTGATGGTTCAAATCCACCAGCCACTCCTCGGAAGGAAGGTTGGGCATTCCTACTTCCGTAGTGATACTGCCTCGGAAACCCAAGGAGGGGTCGACTCCATGGCAAATAACAACAACAACATCACATATGATAACAAAAGCATAAATAGCAAAAGATAAAGCAGATAAACAAGACCTCATAAAAAGTAAGTAATTTTGTCCATCAAATGACTTTGAGTGACAGCCTACAGATTAGGAGAAAATTTTCAGTTACCACATATCCAAAAAAGGTCTAATATCCAAAATACACAAAAAAACTTCTACAACTTAACAACAAGAAAAGCCAATCAAAAAATGGGCAAAGGACATGAACAGACCAAAGAGGTTATACAAATGGTCAACAAACACATGGAAAGATTCTTGATGTCATTAGCCAATATCCATTGCCATCAAATAGCCATTAGGGAGATGCAAATTAAAACTACAATGAGATACTACCTCACCTCTATTAGCACTGTTTTGATTTAAAAAAGTAAAACAGAAGTTTCTGGTGAGGATGTGGAGAAATGAGCACCTTCATTCACTGCTAGTGGGAATGCGAAATGATATAGTTATTTTGGAAACAGTTTAGTGTTTCCTTAAAAAGTACAAACAACTACTGTATGCCCCCATACTCCTATACCTAGGTATATATCCACAAGAATTAGAAGCAGGAATGCAAACAGAAACCTGTACACCAATGTTCACTGCACTATCATTCCCAATAACAAAAGATGAAAACAACCTAAATGTTCATAACAGAGGACTGGATTAAAAAAATATGATATATACATATGATGGAATATTAGTCACAAAGAAAAAGTATTCATGAACACCACAATGTAGATGAACCTTGAAAACATTATGCTGACAAATACTAAATGACCACACTTATAAACAGGCAAAAAGAAAGAAATTGAAACTCAGGCTTTTAGTGGTTACCAGATGTGGAGGGGGGAGGGAAGGGAGTTACTGTTTAGGGTACAGAGAGTTTATGTTAAGGATGTGGGAATAATTTAGAAAAGGATATTGAGAATGTTTGTGCAACAGGAAGAATGTATCAATGTTACTGAACAATACATAAAAAATTGCTGAATAAGCATTTTATGCATATTTGTACTACAATGGTACATATATATATATAAATAAAATCATTTGTCAATTAAGAAAAAGGATTAATATGACTAAATTTTATAATTTACAATGAGTCTTCTCTTCCATAATGAAGACTTCTAAAATAAAGCATCTAGAAACTAATTTTACCGGATAAAACAACTTGAATTAAACTTTACTATTTTACTTATATGAAGGAGCTCTGGTGGTGCTGTGGCTAAGACATTAGGCAGCTAACCAAAAGGTCAGTGGTTTGAACCCACTAGCAGCTCTGCAGAATAAAGAATAATGAGGCGGTTTGAACCCACTAGCTGCTCCGCAGAATAAAGAATACTGAGGCAGTCTGCTTCTGTAATTATTTACAGCCTTGGAAATCCTGTGTTCTAAAGGGTTACTATGAGTCAGAATCGACTCAATAGCAGGGGGTAGTGGGTGGTATTTTACTTACTGGGATGATGAATTATTATAAAAAGTAAAATACATGTTAAATTTCACTAACAAGTCAGGCCGGCACACAGATCTCTGACTAAGAAAAAGTTATGTAATTTCAATAGTAGAAACATCAAAAAGGAAGTAAGAGACTGGTGAAACCCCTCAGACTATGGCCCTTTGACACCTTTCAAGCCTGGAAATGAATTCATCCCCTTGGCTCAACTTTCAGCCTAACGTTAGACAGGTCTGTAAAGTGAACAATAATACCAGGGAGGTACACACTCATTAGAACAATTAACCATATGAGATCCAAAGGGCAGCATTTGCCCAGGGATAAAGCTCAGAAAGGAGGAATGGTGAAAAAGAATAAGGGAAATGGTAAAACAGGAAGAAAGTAGGAAGAGTGTTGTTACACTGTGGGGATTGCCATGTCACAAAATGTGTATGAACTGTTGAATGGAAAACTAATTTGCTCTGTAAGCTGTAACCCAAATCGCAATTATTAATAAATAAATAAATAATAAAATCACAGCTGGAAAAAAAAAGGAAATAAGAATGGCACAATGGTTAACCACTCAGTTGCTAACCCACCCAGCAGCTCTGTGGAAAAAACACGTGGTGATATGCTCCTATAAAGGCTTTTGTTGTTGCTGTGCGCCATCAAGTTGATTCTGACTCATAGAAACCCTACAGGACAGGGTAGAACTGCCCCATGAGCTTCTTAATCTGTAATTTGTATGGGAGCAGATCACCAGGTCTTCTCCTGCTGAGTGGCTGGTAGGTTGGAATCAGTGACCTTTTGATTAGCTGTTGAGTACTTAACCACTGTACCACCAGGGGAGCGTCCTATAAAGATTACATCCTAGAAAACACTATGGGCGACAGACAGCTGTACTCTGTCACATGGGGTTGCTATGAGTTGACATACACTGACAGCCATTAACAGCAGCCCTGGAAATAAACGTTTCTTAATACAGCAGGTCATGAGTGACCTACCTATTTTTAAGGCACTTTTCCAAAAACAACATTTTATTTACACTTTAGTTTTTTAAAAAACTTTAGTCATTAGATATTTAAGAGATGAAATACACTGTGCTAAGTTTCAGAAAATAACCTTTAGGGGTTAAAATGGAGTTTTAAAGGGTTAAGTCTGGGGAGCAATCTGTTTATAACAGTACCTACCTTATACAAGGCATATGCTGTTAGTGCATTTCCACTCTGGGAATTTTTGAGAATGTTGACTATGCTGTCAGGTAACCCAATAAATTCTAGAAAAGGAATGACATTCACTCCTCTATGAAAGAAACAGAACATAATTCACATATACACAAACTTTTAAAGACAAATATTTTAAAAAGATAATGTGAAAATACCAAAACCACAATTTGCTGTAATTTATACTAAATTGTTTAAAAGTTGATTCTGCATTATTAAACATTTTAATTTCACTCTGAGCAAACATATTACTTAATATACATTATGCCATGAACATTACCAGCAAAAGAAAATAAAATGTGTGACCCTAATGTGTTGTACCTTACTGTCTGCAACTTCTAATTTGCTTTTGTATATGTGTATTTCCAATCAGCACATTAGGAAAAATAAAAACATTTTTAGAGAAAAATTAATAGCTTTAAGTAAGCTAAAAGGATCAGAATCATTTATCTCATCTTAGTTTCATCAATCAGACTCTACTTAGAATGCTCCAACTTAAATCTCAAGACCTAAGGCTTTTACTTCTAAAACTGCATGTCAAATTATACTATTATTTTAAAAGCAAGAAAAATTATTATTCTATTTTACCCATATAATGAAACATGATATAGGTTTGATGAAAACTCAACTATTCTAAAAGGATGCTTTCTGTTGTATTATCAGACTAAGAATGCACACAAAGAAGCAATTACCATAAATAATAATAAATTTTTGGAGGGAGGGAAGGAAGGCAGAGGAAGTCTCCAACCTAAACTGTTAAGCCCTAATTTATTTATTTTTAGTTTCCCCAGTTATCAACATTTTGTTACACTGACTCTTGCTTTCTCCAAATCTGTGTGTGTGTAGTTCTGCAGTAACAGTGGTACATTGTTTCTAAATCAGAAAAAGGACATTCTGCTATGTAAACATAAAATATTTATCACATTTAGGAAATTTAACACTAATATAAATATATGAATTATATCAAAATTTCCTGACTTGTTCAGTGAGTCCTTTATACCTTCTTTTTCAAATCCCTTCAGTTTGCTTTTATCTATAAGTGCTTACCAGCCTGTGTGTGTGTGTGTGGGGGGGGGGCAGTATGATGTCTTTTTGATGTTGATAGTTTCAACGCTTCCACACCCGTTCATTGCATGGTAGACCACCTCTTCATTAACATTTGTCTGACTGTTTCCTTATGATTAGACTCTGGTAAAGTAGATTTCAGGTGCCCTGTGGCACCATAAGGAGCTCTGGTGATGTAGTGGATATGGCAGATGGCTGCTAACCAAGTCTAGTGGTTCAAACCTACCAGCTGCTCCACAGGAAGATGACGAGGCAATCCACTTCTGTAAAAATTTACAGCCTTGGAAACCCAATGGGGTCATTATGAGATGGAATCAACTCGATGGCAATGGGTTTGGTTTGTGGTGGCACAATGGTTAAATACTTGGCTGCTAACCAAGAGGTCTGAATCCATACTTGCAATCTGAAGCCACTGGGTGGGAGAAAGACCATGCAATCTGCATCCAACAAAACATACGGTGCAGTTCATAACAACGTGGGTTTGCTATGAGTTGAAATCAACTTAACAGCAAGGATCAATGACAACAAAGTAGATTCCAGAAGGAAAAGTACACAGTAATTCTGCATCCATCTCAGTGCATCATCATAACCCACTGTCATCGAGTAGATTCCGACTCACAGTGACCCCCATTGGGTTTCTGAGGCAGTAAATCTTTACGGAAGTAGATTGCCCAGTCTTGCTTCCACGGAGTGGCTGGTGGGTTTCAACCACCAACCTTCTGGTAAGCAGTTAGATGCCTTAGTCACTGTGCTACCAGAGCTCCTTGTACATTATAATAGGGGGAACATAATGTCAGTCTGTCCCATCTTTTAAGTTTGACTCCTGGTTAAGGCAGGGTCCACAAATTGTTCCACTGTAAATGTACCTCTTTACCTTGGCAATTAACAGGGGAAAGTGACTGGATCAATTATTATTACAGTAGATATAGAATCCTAATTTATATTTTTATTATTAAAAAGTAATTTCATTAACTGGAGAAAAAATATTCCTCTCTGTGACTTTACTATTATATACTAAGGAGTTCAAGGAGTACTTGCAATAGATATGGCTGGTCACCTTCTTCAAGGAAGAACCATTAAAATGACCTATCACCAAAAACAAGAGGAAACCAGGATTATAAATTTAAATAACCTTACAAGAATTATATTAAAAAAATCAACAAGTCCCTTCAGCTTTCTACTCTCTCTACCTTCAATTACATCGTATCTTAAAAGATGTTTCCATTTGGAATACTTGTCCAGGTAACATAGATTCCATTACAGTAAAGTTTAGTACTATACATATTTAGCTTTAAATTCTATGATTTAATAAAATAACTAAAATCTTAACATGATATGCTATAATTTTATCTTCCAATACCAATATAATTATAAAATTATTTCATTAATCATCTTCTAATTCCAACTAAGCCCAGTACTTAATCTATATATATAAATAGAAAAGCAATTATGAAGAAAGGAGAAAAAATGAATTACATCAAATATATGGCTAAAAATAAGACAAAACTGATTTATGATGAAAAACTTATCAATGAACTCAGACATTAGCTCAGACATCTTGTACAAATCATCACATCACTGACTTGTATCCTTTGTAAAATAAAGAAACAAGCACCTAACTTCAATTATTTCTAAACTTTTGATTTAATTTCCTTAAAAATAAAAATAAATTTAGTTTTGAATTGCTAGGTATGACGTATTATTGAAAGTCTGATTCAAACAGGCATATCTATCCACTTATGTTATTTTCCACTCCGATGCTTCCCTAGCCTGACAGAAATCTGTACTTCAAAAATTGCCTGCTTTATGGCTTTTCAACAAATGTAGAAATACCTTCTATATATAGAAAATCCCAAAGAACCCATAAGAAAACTTCTAGAGCTAATAAAAGACATCAGGAAATTCATAGATTATAGGTCAACAAACAAAAATCAGTTGGATATACACAGTAGCAATGAGAAATCTGAAAGGAAAATACTTCCATTTATAACAGCATCTAAGAGAAGAAAATATCTAGGAATAAATCTAACCAGGGACATGAAGGACTTATATAATGAAAACTATAAACACTGCTGAGAGAGGGAGACACTGAAGAAGACTTAAAATTATCAAAATGTCAAAACTTCCCAAATTGATCTACAGATTCACTGCAATCCCAATCAAAATTCCAGCAGTCTTCTTTATAGTAATAGAAAAACCAACCCTTAAGGAAAGGCAAGAGGCCCTGAAGAGAAGAACAAAGTAGGAGACTTTTATTTCTTGATTTTAAAACATACTATATAGCTATAATAATCAAAACATCTTGGTACTAGTATAATAATTGGGACATAGACCAATGAAATAAAAGTCCAGAAAAAAAGCACACTGGTTTTCGACAAGGGTGTCAAGTCCATACAATAGGGAAAGAAGAATCTCTTCAATAAACGGTACTGGGAAAATTAGATGTTGACATACAAAAATGAACAGGACCCATGCCTTATACACCATACACAAAACCAAATTCAAAATGGATTAAGGACCTAAATGTGCAAACTAAAATTGTAAAATTCTTAGAAGAACAAGCAAGGGCAATGCTGTCAGGCCTAGCTTTCAACAATGGATTATACAATATAATAGCAAAAGCAAAAACAGCAAAAGACAAAATACATAAATGGACCTCATAAAAATTTAAAAAAAGATAAGCTACCTATCGGGAGGACATCTCTGGAAATGATATATCCAACAAGAATCTAATAATCAGAATAGAGATAAAATTTTGACAACTTAATGACAAAAAGACAACCCAATCATAAAATGGGCAAAGGACTCGAATAGACATTTCATGAAAGAGGCCATTCAAATGGCCACCACACACATGAAAAGATGCTCAGTGTCATTAGCCATCACAGAGATGCAAATCAAAACCACTATGATATACCATTTCATTTGCACTAGGAAGACTAAGATGAGGGGAAAAAAAAAAAAAAGCCAGCAACTAACAACTCTTGGTGAGGCTGTTGGGAAACTGGAACCCTTATCCATTCATTGCTGGAATGCAAAATGATATAGCCAATACAGAAACAGAATGACAGTTCCCGAAAAAAATAAAAATAAAAAAATAGAGCTACCATATGATTCGGCAATTCGACTTCCAGGTATATACCCAAAATGGTTGAAAACAGACTCAAAAAGAGACTTGTACACCAATGTTCACTGTGGCACTATTCACAATAGCCAAAAGGTGGAAACAATCTAAACAACCATCAACAGATAAATGGATAAACAAAATGGAATACTACTCAACCAACTAGGAGAAACCATGCATACATGCTGAAGTATGGATGGAGCTTGAGCAAAATAAGCCAATCATAAAAGGACAAATACAGTATGACCTCATTTATATAAAGACAAGAAAAGTCAAATGTACAGAGACCAAAGTTTATTGGTCGTAAGGAGCTCTGGTGATGCAGTGGTTAAATATTCAGCTTCTAACCAAAAGGTCAGCCAGCAGTACAAACTAACCAGCTGCTCCATGGAAGAAAGATGAGGCAATCTGCTTCCATAAAGATTTACAGCCTTAGAAATCCTAAGGGGCAGTTCTACCCTGTCCTATAGGGTTGCTATGAGTCAGAATCGACTCCATGGCAGTGGTGTGTATGTGTATGTGTGTGTGTTTCAAGGGACAGGGGGAAAAAAAAAAAAAAAAAAAAACACTGCGATGGAGTTAATTCTGACACACAGCAGCCCCTCCTTGGGTTTCCAAGGTGGTAAATCTTTATAGAAGTAGATTGCCCAGTCTTCCTTCTGTGGAGTGGCTGGTGGGTTTGAACCACCAACCTTCTGCTTAGCAGTTAGATGTCTTAGGCACTGTGTCACCAGGGACAGGAGGGAGGGAGGGAAAAGGGAGGTTAATGGTGATGGAAATACCTCATTGAAAAGGGTTTGGTTGCACAGCTGAATATCATAATTGCTGTGAAAATGTTTTACACCTGCAGAAAGGTGAATTGGCAAAAGTTGTGTGACAGATATTATTTACAACAATGAACAACAACAACAAAAAAAGTAGCTGGTGAATATGCTTATGTACAACCAAACACTTCATGGGATTTGCTTCCTTGGTTTGGAGGTTTAGGGTTATAGCTTCATGGGATATCCCAGTTAATTGGCCTAATAAAGTATTCAGTGCTTCTGTTCTACCTCCTGATTCACTGCAGAGTGCCTAGGATTTTAAAAGTTTGTAAGTGGCCATCTAAGGTACAACACTTGGTCTCTATTCACCTGGAACAACAGAGGAAGAAGGAAAGTCAGAACAGGAGGAGTAGGATATTGAATGTGTGGTTAATTGCCTCCATAAACAACTGCTTTCTTTGCATGACACCAGAACTGGATGGTGCCTGGCTACCATCACTAAATTTTGATCAGAGATTCCAAAGAAGATTCCTATTCAAAAGGGGGAAAATACAGAATAGAATTTCAAATTGTCATGGTCGCCAGACTTTCTGGAACCACGCAGACCGGATGAATCCCTTAAACTATTACCCTAAGATAATCTTTAAACCTTAAACGAAAAATATTCTCAGAAGTCACCTTAATACGCAAGAGTTTAGCTTAACTAGTAAAAAGGTCTGCCTTGACCATTATTGTTGTTGTTGTTGTTATGTGCCGTCAAGTCAGCCCTGACTCATAGCGACCCCTCCTTGGGTTTCCGAGGCAGTATCACTACGGAAGTAGGATTGCCCAACCTTCCTTCCAAGGAGTGGCTGGTGGGTTTGAACCGCCAGCCTTCTGGTTAGCAGTCAAGTGCCTTAGCCACTATGCTACCAGAGCTCCCTGACCATTATATGCTCTTTTAAGAATTATCCTTATGGGATCAAACTAACAACAACTTGAAAGATTAGAAAGGAATTTTAGGGGTAGTAAGTTAATGGGGAACTCTGGTAGCATAGTGTCTAAGGCACTTGACTGCTAACCAGGAGGCTGGTGGTTCAAACCCACCAGCCACTCATCAAAAGGAAGGTTGGGCAATCTACTTCCATAGTGATACTGCCTCCGAAACTCAAGGAGGGGTTGCTATGAGTCAGGTCCAACTCGACAGCACATAACAACAACAACAAGTTAATGGGGGAGAAACAACTAAGAAATTCAGGTGAGAATGGTAGCACAACTCAAGGTCTACAATCAGTGTCACTGAATACACAGGTAGAAAACTGGTCTATGTTTGGCAGTGTATACTATTAGCAACAAAATAAATAAAATTTAAAAGGAAAAGAAAGGTAGAAACACATAAGCAGAAAACACAATCACTATCTGGATAAAATGCAGTAAAAACCAGTTCAGATTCTACTTCAGAGTGAGTCTGTAACCTTTAAAAACTTGAGGCCCAAAACATGAGGCCGCTAAAATCAGGGACAACAAAGTTATTTACACAGCAATATTTGATCAAACATAGTAATTCTGGTTAGATCAGATCTGAGCAAGCTTTTGCCAGATAGGAGCTGTAACAAAGCTAAGTTTAAAATAAATCTGTTGTCATGCACAATTTAGATCTCGCTGAAATAAAACGCTTCAAAAATCTGAGATCTTTATCACTGAGTTAACATAACGACTGATACTTTGCTCTTCAATGCCCAGAAAGGGCAATAATGCTAGCAGGTTGAAACCAAATACCGGTCAGTAATGCAATGGGATGTCAAATCTCCTCCTTCAAGTTACAAGCCACTCTTTTCCCTTTCTTTTTTTAATAGTAAGAAGGCAACAAGCAAATGCCAGAACTTCTGTCAAGTAAAAGTGAAAAAAGGGGGACAAAAAAAAAAAAAAAAAAACCCACACAACAGCAGCAACTAAAAACTACTTGTTGGTCAAGTTGAAACTTGTAACTTAATACAACACAACCAAGTTCAATTTTACAATAAAATGATGTACCATCATTTCAACCTATCTGAATCTTTTTTTTCTTCTGAGTTTATAAATGTGATTAAGATTTTCACTTAGATCAACTTTCAATTTTTGAAGAATTAAGAATTGAATAAAAGCACATTACATAGGACTGGCCGGAAGCAAAAGACACTATTTTTACACAAATAATGCATGCATTATGATTTGCAAAATGCAGCAATCCCCTCACACCACATTGGTTTCCTATGCATACTGGGTACATTATATGCATGTGTGTGTTATTTATGAAAAAATACATTAACATATATTAGTTATGTGATGTTACAACAGAATTGTACCAGTAGTGATGACCTGTCAATAGTGAAAGATCTGGCAACCAAATTCTCATGCTAACAAACAGCCAAGCAGCAAGCTGTGGTGAATAAAATATGTTTTAAAGTGGAAAATCTCACCACTATGTTTACCTATCAGCATTCTAAAGAAAAAAAAGGGAAAATAAAACTAAGAAAAGTACATTTCACAAGAGATGACAGAACATCAGGTGCCAGATAGCACAGAAAAAAATCTTCAGTATTATTATCATCACTAGGTTATTTTGAAGGAGCTCTGGTGGTGCAGTGGATAAGGCACCTGACTGATATAACCCAAAGGTCAGCAGTTCAAACCCACTAGCTGCTTCCTAGAAGGAAGACTAGATGATCTACTTCCATAAAGATTTATAGCCTCAGAAATCCAATGGGGGTCACTATAAGTCAGAAATGACTTGATGGCAGTTGACTGAGGTTATTTTGGGTCTGCTCTTTTAGTTAGAGAACTCTTCTACCACAAAAGGCAAAAGAAAATTAAAAGGAATGAAAGTATTCCTTTTTTAACAGTGCAAGTGAGATACTCATATTCAATTAAGCACACACTTTCAGTTCTCCCTCTAAGGCCAAGAGACTAAAATGCTTCTTAAGGGTTACCAAAGGAGGGCCAGAAGAAACAAGAATTACATACTTATGCCATTTTTCAAAATACTGAATTAGATGCCCCCTCACTGGCTCAAAGAAAAAAAAAATAGTATGTAGAAAGCCATTAATTAAATGATAGCACAACTAAATGGCTCTAATAGCTCTTACTCAAAATGATGCACAATTTTATGCTGTCATAAAACTAAAGGCAGTTTTGAAGATCTCTATACATATTAAACATGCTCAGAAAATGTACAAATAATAAATTAATGTAGCTAAGCAAATAAACAAAGAGGAATTCCATAAAGTATACATACAAAAGTTTTCTACAAAGAAAGACACAATCATTAAAGAAAATAATGACACATAATGAAGGATATAACTGAATAATAGGAACTTAATGGAAATAAAGATATAAAGATAAACAGAAGAAGAGCAATTACACAAAAGTAAACATTCTTTTAGAACTTTTGTAAGTATCTCTCATCCTGTTTCCCAAGAATAAGTAGAGTCTTCATTCCATTATCTTGAGATAAGTACTTTTCATTTAGTAGACAACAAAAATTTTCCAAGGAGTGAGCTTCACATACAAAATTACCTGTATTTTAATATCAAGCTAATCAGACACTCAAAATTATTGGAATTTTGGGACATAAACTCATTAGGAGAGATTCTAATATGTCAAATTAGTCTTCCTGTCAACATTTCATCCAGTGAGTAGGACAGTCACTGAGCTCTTTTACCTGGCTATTTAAAAGGAAATCCCGCAAAGTACATTAAAAGGAATGGACACAAGTCAGTCAATGGTTTTCAGTTCTCCTACTGGCAGAAACTGGAAGATGTGTGAATAACCCAATTTAGAAGAAAGTAACAGTATCAAACAAGATGAAGTTAGAAACTTTTTACACCTAGAGTTTAGGCCTACCAAATTATTAGCTTTTGATCAGAACAAAGGACTTTACACCTTGACTTCAGTGATATCAAAGTCTGTTATTTGTCCATTTTGTGTCTACTACCGATATTAGGCAGGCTTTGGCAAAAAATATTACTAATTTATCACCAAGACTATATGAATGGCAAATAATAGGTATTTTTTTACAATTATGAACTTCTAAGAAGTATGTACTTACTAAATTTATGGTGCTGCCGTATTTCTGAAATCTATTTTATTTCTGTGCTATCCCCAACACTGACATGAGATTATCACAGTAATTACAAGCATGGGTTTGGAAATCAAACTTAAATAAATTTTAATCCAGTGTTCACCTCTTACCAGGCTATTTTGGGAAAACTACTTATCCTTGCTTAATCTGTTTTCCCATTTATAAAATGGGATTTACACTACCTGCTTCATATATTGTTGTGAGGATCAGATGAGATATACCGTTAAAAATGTAATAAATGCCTAATATATACAGTAAGCAGATGTTAGCTATTAATACTACAATGTAAAAGACAGCTACGAAAAGCAACACTATCAAAGATATTAAAGCATTTAAAAAATGATTTAAGGCTCTTATTATGTACAGTTAACATTCTGATGAAACACAGAAAAGTGTTCAAACTAAGCAAAAACTTACTTTATGGCTGCATAGTAAAATGTCCCAAACCAAACACCAGAAGTTATTAGGTGTACTGGAATCAAAACTTTTCCATACTGTCTAAATGTTTTCTTAAATCGTTGATACAGACTAATAGATTTGTCTTGTAAAGGATCTGGTTCTTCCTTTTTTCCTGTGGGAGTTCCCTGGGATGTAGCATCAGATGATACAATCCTCTTGGATAGAATATTTTGCTCCCACTGTTTACAGTGAAGGACCCCAAGTAGAGATAGCTGAGCATCGAGTGACTTCCTTTTCTTTGCAACACATTGGGCAGCTGACAAGTGTAGACGTTGTTTCTGAAAGCCTTGCACTAACACTACTTTTGACTCAGCATTATACAAAAGTAATAGTCGTTTTATGCTTTGACAGTGTCCAAAAAGACCAACTTTTGGTGGTTCCAAGCATGTCCGATGTACTAGCCCAGAAACAGTCCGTAGTACATTCCATTGCATCTTGGAGAATGGTGGTTTCAGCTTCAACAGATACTGTATTTAAAAATAAACAAACAAAAATTTAACACACAGGTTTCCTTTTTAAACAAATCAATTTTAAAATAAACCCAAAATAAAAACAAGTCCAAGTAAAAAGACAAACAATACTGCCAAGCCCACAGAAATTAGTATTAAGGTATGTAGTTCTAACATACTACAATTAAAAATTTCATTAAAACACACGATTTAAATATGATATAGTAAACCAGTTTAGTAGACATCATGAAGGGTAATGATTTGAGGCTATTTTTGTCCCTACAAACTGGGTTTGCAGAACTTCTGTTATTCAACAAAGAAGCAGTGTGGTGGCATGAAAAAATCTTGCATCTGAAAGCAAAAGACCTGGGGTCTGATGTTTTCGGGACAAAATTCCATGCAATTCCCTTTCAGATTCCAAGTCCAAGTCCACTAGTAAGATAAGAATTACTCACCAGCAATGAACAATCTGAAAATGAAATTAAGAAAACAATTCAATTTATAAAAACATCTAAGAGAATAAAATACCTAGGAATAAATTTAACTTGGAGGTGAAAGACCTGTATACTGAACACTATAAAACATTACTGAATTGAAGAAGATGTGAATAAACAGAAAGATATCTAATTTTCATGGATTAGACTTCTTATCAGTAAGATGTCTGTACTACCCAAAGCTTCTACATATTCAATGCAATCCTGATTAAACCTCCAATAGCCTTTTCAGAAGAGCCAATCCTCAAACATACACGGAATTGCCAAAGGGCTATGTTTGAATAGCCAAAACAATCTTAAAAAAGAACAACAAAGGAGGAGGAATCATATTTCCCAGATTTCAAATCATACTATATAGCCACAGTAATCAAAATAGTGTGGTTCCGGTATAAGCATAGACATACAGACCAATGGAACAGAGTCCAGAAATAAATCCATACACCTTGGACCTATGGTCCAAGTAATTGACAAGAGTGTCAAGTTCACTCTATGAGGAAAGAATAGTCTCTGCAACAAATGGCGCTGAAACAACTGGATTTACGCATGCAGAAGACGAAGTTGGGCTCCCACCTTATACCATATATAAAAATTAACTCAAAACAGACGAGTGACCTAACTATGAGTGAAAACAACAAAACTCTTAGAATAAAACAGAGATAAATCTTTAAGACCTTGCATTTAGTAATGAATTCTTAGATATGACATCAAAACAGAAGCAATTAAAGACAAAAATAGATCAATTTCATAAAAATTAAAAGCTTTAGATCATCAAAGGACTTTATTAACTAAGAGACAACCTATAAAGAGTAGGAAAAAATATATAAGAATTATCTGATAAGGACTTAATATTCAGAATATAGAGAACTCCAACAACTCAATAACCAAAAAACAAAAACACCCAATCTATAAATGCTTTAACTGTTGTTGTTGTTGTTATGTGCCGTCGAGTCAGACCCGACTCATAGTGACCCCTCCTTGGGTTTCCGAGGCAGTATCATTACGGAAGTAGATTGCCCCATCTTCCTTCCAAGGAGTGGCTGGTGGGTTTGAACAGCCAGCCTTCTGGTTAGCAGTCAAGTGCCTTAGGCAGTATGCTAACAGAGTGCTATTTCTCCCATAGCCAGTATTCATGGGTCCAGGAACCAAGTGGTGGAAATGGGAGTGGCACCACTCACTATTATCCCTAGAACTCACTCAAAAAATTTCTGCTTTCTGTCCTTCCCTGTGACCCAATGTTCCAAGAATCTGGAGGTATTAGTCTCAAAGGGAGGATACAAAACTGATTCCACTGAACTAGAAATTAAGAATGCCACCCACCCATTTTGAGCTCCTCATGCCTCTGGATCAACAGGCAAAGAAGACAGCTACTATATTGTCTGATGTGACTGATCCTAATTACCAAAGGGAAATAGGACTGATATTACATAATGGAAGTAAAGAAAAGTATATCTCGAACACAGGAGATTCCTGAGAACATCTCTTAGTATTACCATACTGTGATTAAAGTCAATGGCAAACTAAGAAATCCAAATCTGATGTAACCAACAGCCCAGACCCATCAGGAATGAAAGTCTGGGTCATCCCATCAGGCAAAGAACCACAACCAGCTGATGTGCTTGCTGGGGACAAAGAGAACACAGAATGGGTGCTAGAAGAAGGTGACCAGCTACAACCATGTGACCAGTTGCAGAAATGAGGACTGTGATTGTTATGAGTATTTCTTCCTTGTGTGTGTGTGTGTGTATAAAATACTTTTTTTGTTTTCCTCAACTATAAGATAATGTTGTAAATGGGGTAAAAACGCATTTTTAGTTGTATGTTGTTAGTCATACCATGTTAGGCACAAGTATGACTTTACAATTGTCTTTGTCATCCTTGCTGGACCATGATTCTAAGTGGTTTAGTACTTATGATGTAGTCCTCTCCCATGATGAGATCTGATATAATGTAATCACCTCCATGGTGAGAACTGCCATGAGCAGCCAATCAGTTGAAAGGGAGTTTCCTTCTGGCTGTGATCTGTTTCCAGTATATATAGATAGAAGAGTTCTGCCAAAGATCTTGAGGTTTTTGCTCAATCTGGATCCTGCAACTAGCTTGTGACCATTTGACCTCTGGTTCTTAGACTTGAACTAGTACCCTGCCATATTGCCTGCCAATCTTGGGACTGTTGCCTTCACAGCCTGTGAGCCAATAGCCTACAACGTTATCTGCCAATCTTGGATTTGGGCTGCTAAATTTCCTGCCAATCTTGAGTTCATCAACCCTTGCAGTTATGTGAGTCAGGAGAAGCCTCTGACTTGATATTTGACCCACACACTCTGGACTTGCTAGCCACTACAATTGTGTGAGCCATTTCCTTGAGATAAATTTCTTTCCTCCTTCACCCCCAAACACCCCTCATTTTGCTTCTCTAGAGAACCTAGCCTAAGACATGAGATACTACTTAACTCCCACTAAGATGACTTTAATAGAATTATGGAAACTAACAAGTGTTGATCAGGATGTGGAGAATACTCATCCATTGCTGGTGGGAATATAAAATGGTACAGACACTGCTGAAAACAGACAGTTCCTCAAAAGGCTTAATACAGAATTAATGTATGGCTCAGCAATTTCACTCCCACATATATACTCAAAAGAACTGAGAGCAGGGACTCAAAGAGTTATCAGGAAACCAATGTTTGTTGCAGCATCATTCAGAACAGCCTCAAGGTAGAATCAACTCAGGGATCCAATAAAAGATGAATAAATTTAAAGTGTGATACATACACACAATAGATTATTCAGTCATAAAGAAAAATGAAGTTCCAATACATGCCACGACATAGATGAACATGCCACAATATGGAAGAACCCTGAAACTATGTTGAGAGAAATTACCAAACCAAAAAAACCAAACGCACTGCCGTCGAGTAGGATCTGACTCATAGGGACCCCTCCTTGGGTTTCCAAAGCAGTATCACTACGGAAGTAGATCGCCCAACCTTCTTTCCACGGAGTGGCTGGTGGGTTGGAACCGTCAGCCTTCTGCTTAGCAGTCAAATGCTTTAGGCACTATGCCACCAGAGCTCCTTAGTCACCATACAATCTCACTGTATAATATGTATAATCTCTGGTGATACAGTTGTTAAGGCACTTGGCTGCTGCTAACCAAAAGATCAGTGACTCAAACCCACCAGCCCCACTGTGGAAGAAGATAAGGCAGCCTGCTTCCATAAAGATTGGAAACCCAATCACTCACACTCACTCACTGCCATCAAGTTGATTCTGATTCATAGCGACCCCTCCTTGGGTGTCTGAGGTGGGATCTCTATGGAAGTAGATTGCCCAGTCTTCCAACACAATAGGGGTCACTATGAGTCAGAATCAGCACAATGGCAGTGAGTTTGGTTAATCTCACATATATGAAATTGTTGTTGTTATATGCCATCGAGTTGGCCCCGACTCACAGCGACCCCTCCTTGGGTTTCCGAGGCAGTATCACTATGGAAGTAGATTGCCCAGCCTTCCATCCGAGGAGCGGCTGATGGGTTTGAACTGCCAGCCTTCCAGTTAGCAGTCAAGTGCTTTAGGCACTATGCTACCAGAGCTCCCCATATGAAATTAGCAAATACATATTGCTGTTATTAGTTGTTGCTGAGTAGATCTCTACTAACTGTAATCCCATGACAGTAGAGTAGAACTGCCCCCTAGGGTTTTCAAGGCTGTAACTTTTCAAAAACAGATTACCAGGTCTGTCTTCCAAGATGCCTGTGGGTGAGTTTGAACCACAAACCTTTTGGCTGGTAGTTGAGAGCTTAACCATTTATACCACCCAGGGACTCCTAAGCAATTAAATAGAAACTAAAAATTATTAGTGATTACCGGGGATGGGAAGGAGAGGGAAAGGGGGAGTTTTTGCTTGGGCAACAGTGTGAGTTTATGTTAATGGTGGTAGAATGACTGGATAGCTAGAATGGTTGCAAAACCTGAAGAATGTAATCATGTAGAAACTGTTGAATTGGTGTATGTATTGTTTTGTACATATTCAGTTTAAAATAAAAAAGATCTCTCTGTAACACCTGTCCAATTTGTCTTCTTTACTTCACCAGCTAAATGTCTAAAAACAATAAAATGAAAATCAGTTGCCATAGAGTCAATTCTGTCAATGTGTGTCAAGAGTGGAACTGTGCTGCATAGGGTTTTCAATGGCTGATGTTTCAGAAGATTATACAAACTTTCTTCTGAGCTTGCTAAAACAAATTCTTAAAACAATGGCTGCCTCTTTTTCACTTACACTGTCCTCTCATTACCAATGAGCCAATTTGTTGTGGTTGTTGTTGCTATGTGTCGTCGAGTCAGCCCCAACTCATAGCGACCCCTCCTTGGGTTTCCAAGGCAGTATCACTACGGAAGTAGGATTGCCCAACCTTCCTTCCGAGGAGTGGCTGGTGGGTTT